ATCTTCTAAAAATCTAAACATGTACGGGAAACCCCCTGCCTGAATAAAAATGAAAATTATTATGCTGTTTAGATTTCGAACAAGTGTTGCTTAAAAAACATGTCACTAACAAATTATTTCTCTTTTCAAAATGTACATGTTGTCCAATAAAAGAAAAGAATGTATGTGTCTGCTATATAAAGAGAGCAGGTGAGGATTTCCATTAAATTCGAATTTTCACAGCTTCTTTAATAATTAGGAAAAGAAAAGTGAAGTATGGAGTACGCAGTTGTAAAATTGGGAAGCTGCTAAAAGGTTTTCATGATGATGTAGCTGTTACTTGGATTGTTGCTATAGATTTATTATATGTTAAATAATCAACTTTGGTGCTGCAAGAAAAATATAAATATATAAAGAAAATTAAAGGTTAGTTTTATTGTTATTAAATTATTTTCATAGTTACTAAATAGATTTCATAATGGAATTTATGTGACCACCTATTTCATGTGCATGACTAAGCAGTTTTCACTAGTTTATACATTTGTTCTAAGTTTGCTTGTTTTTTCAGTAGTACATAGAAACATTGTGAAATAAAAACATATTTTTCACATTTCATTTTAAAGCTGTGGACTTTTCAGTTTTGATTTAGTATAAGTATTAAAGATTAACCTTTAATATGCATAATGTAAATTTATAGATGTAAAGAACAGCCTGCAACAAATAAATGCTAAAATTATCGATGGGGAAATAATTAAATGATCTTTAAGATGGCTTGTAAAATGCACGAATCCTATAATACTTTATTTTCTTCAAGATAAATAAATTTTAAAATTAAATCAAGAAAGCAAAACCATATTAATTTACATATAGAAAACAGTTTTTTTAAAAAGCTGCATTAGCTTTTTAAAAGCTGTCCATTTCAGATTAATATATGCACATAGATCAAATAAGGAGTAATATTCATTAGTCTCTCCATTACATCTATAAAGAAATTATTCATAATTAGAGAGTGAATACATGATAAATTCCAGATTGTCTTTCTATTATAAAAGGATAGCCATTTTTGCTATTTCCATATTTGATGATGTGACCAGGTTGTTGTATTACAATTCAAGAGTTATATCACATCTTTAAACCATTTTTTAAAGGCAAAGCCAATATGTGATGTTTCATTAATCAGCTAGGTAGCATCAGTGCTAGTGAGTGTAAATCCATTTATGTACTGTTGCTTCCTGCTTGATTGACTTGTGTTATTCTGTTTATCTGCTGGAGGGAATGTGTTCTGATCTTTTTTGTTTCCTTTTAAGCTTTTGTTGTCTGTTTGAATCGTATGTAAATATGTTTTATTTTTCTATGTGTCTGTTGATAGCTAATTTTCTGAATGCCAAGCTTTCAGGAATTCCCTAACATTTTTAGATTTTGCTTGGTCTAAGATACTCAATGTTTCCCAATTGAAATTGTGTTTTAGTCATGTGTTCTGAAATTAAGGCTTTCATTGTGTCTTCTGACCCCTAGCTGTTGTTCACAAATGTGCTCTGCTAATCTTCTGCCTGCCTGTCTTTCACAGTGGCTATTATGGGCCTTATACTATAGATAACTCCTATGTTTTCCTATGGACTACTAGAGCTTTTGGTTTATTTAAGATGTTTTGGATGACTTTATTTGGTTTGATTGCTACAGGGATGTTGTGTGGTTGCAATAGTCTGTTGGTTGTTTCTGAGATATTTTTGATATATGGTCGTGTTCTCCTTTTCATAGTTTGTATTGCTTGTGATGTAATGGGTGTGCATTTTGTTGGAAAATGATGTATGGGCGGTTTGTTTCCCTTTTCTGGTGTTCCAAGTTGCTGCAGTGTGTTTGTACTCAATCAAAGCATTATCTGTTGCATCCAATAAGATTCTTGAACTAAGAATCTTCTTAAGACAATAATTATATTTAATATTCTTTAAGACACATCGTATGAACTCAATCCAAATTAATACTGCACCTTAATAGTATATTTTAAATTTTAAATGCTATAAATTTGTAATAATTTGTAATAATCCAGGACAAATTTCTGGTTCAGTTAGTAACTCACAGCTGCTAAAAATCAGGATAAGATTGTTTTATTATATTTGTATACACTTTCATTTGGTTTTGTAATGAATCAAAATCTCAAATTTGATTGCCCATTAGTTGATGATCTAAAGTACTGCATTCCTATTAGGTCATGAATTTTACCATAAAACATCCCCCCACTAGGATTCAAAGTTTCTTATAATGTGTAAGCTTATCATGTAAATAAGTGTCAGAATTACATTTCCTTCCCCAAACCTTTCAAATAAATACAATAACATTATGACTAAACAACTAAAAAAAGAGAAACGTAATTCAAAATGGTAAAACTAAAAATGAGGAATGTTGTAATTTCCATGATCAATTTACTAATAATTAAAAAAAATTAAGGCATTTATCTTTCCCATTAAAAACTTTTTAATAACTTGTTGAAGTTTCTAGAATATAAACAATATTTTTATATTATTTAATATTTATATCTAGATATATCTAGAGATCAAAACAGGCTGACAGTTGAAAACAAGAAAAAATTATAGTATAAAAATAATCCTCTAATTAATGAATCTTGGGTGCAGAATATCTAGTCATAATGACTTTTAAAGAAGCCTAGGAAAATTGACAACACCCATCTTTATTAAACTATCCAGCTGGAATACTGAGTATTTGCCTTTTTTTAAGAAAACATAGATAATTTCAAAATCTAAATATAGATAAAAGGGCTCATTCAGATTTAGACCACTTAAGATCGCTAAAGACTACTATTAAGCTCTGAGTAAATTGATACTTAAAAAAAAACAGTATAGTAATTAAGAATCATTTTCAACGTTAGTCTCTTTTCCTCAGTTTTAAGTTAGGTATTGCTTAAGTGTTCTTCAGTCGCTAAGTTGTATCCAGCTCTTCATTACTCCATGGTATATAATATTCCAGGCTCTCTTGTCATCCACTGACTGACCAAAAGTGCTTAAATGTTTAAGTAGGCTCATTCTAATTATATATTCTTTCAATTCTGATTGCTTGCTAAAGTTTGTATCTATCCTGTATAAAAAACACAGTTTTTAAGAGGAAATAAGCTAAATGTGCCTGATTATTATTACGCTCCACGTAAATATAATTTATCTGGTTTTGTTTGAACCATTTATTATGCTATTACATTTATTATACTATTATATGTATAATAATATGCTATTATATTTAAGAATGGATTTTATTGTAGCTAATACTGATAAGATTATAGTATGTTTCATCTATAATGGATTAGATATATCTTCTGTTGGCATTACATGTATGTATACAATTGTGAATATAATTTTAACACAATAATTAATGAATAGAACATTTCATGTCAGATCTGGAGTTTTCTTTGTAGTTAATTAGGTTAAGGTTAGGATTTTACTATTTTTTGAAACTGGTTTTCCTACAATTAGTAAAGTGAGGATCTATGATGAGAGTACAGATTTGCGTTTCTTCCTGAGGAAAGAAAATTCTTAATATGGACAACTTTTTTTAGCATTTTTACAGATTTCCTGTGATTCAGTTTTTTTTCCTTCTAATATTTTTTTAAAAATTAGGCACATTGATGATTTCCTCTAAAGTGCCTAGTGTTTGGAAGACCAATCAATGCTTCATCCAATTATTTATTTCCCCATGGATCACCAGGAGTGAATAATAGTTAACTTTCTTCGAGTACCTTAAAAAGTTTAAATGTCTTTCATTCCTCATGAAATCCCTCACCTCAGTATCTACAGGTAGTCCTTTACTTATGACCACAATTGAGACATGATTTCCAGATATAAGTTATTAGGTTGTAAATTAAGGCACCACATGAATGGACCTGAGTTTACATTTTTTGTGGTAGTCATTAAGCAAATCACTGAAAAGGTATGCAAATGGTCATTAAATGAATATTACAGTTGTAATTGCAAACACATTTTTACAAATGGCTTTTTTTGCTGGAAATTGGCAAAAAATGTCAGAAACAACAAAGAAGTTGCAAAGTGCAGTCATGTGGCTCAGAACCCTGCAACCAGTCATAAAGGTGAGCTGGTTGGCAAGCACCCAAAATACTGTCAGATTACCATGTGATGGAAGAGCACAACATTTTATGATGGCCAGAAGTGCTTTACAAGCCATAAAGAATTGAGGAAGCATCACACTGGAAGTGGTTGAGAAATTAAATTAATCCCATCTCCCCTCTCGCTCATCCTACTTTCTCCTTCCCCACCTTTTAGTTAAAGTTGATAATTTGTTTTTTATAGTGTTTTATTGTTATTATATACAAAGGTTTCTGTTGTGTTATTCTTTTTAATATTCTAAGCTGACCAAAGTCACCACATGATGAGCAGCAAACAAATTTAATAAATAATAACTTTTCTGAGACCATCATAATTTTGAATGGTCTTAAGCAACCAGCCATAAGTTGATACTACCTTTACTATCTGACTATTATGCAAACTACTTCATATGTTATTTCTCTTTCGCCAAATGTGAAAGTTTACTTTGTATATACTACTATTATGTCTACTTCTACCATGTGTTATTTATGACTTATTTATGATGATAATTGTGGAATAATCATCCATTAAAAAAATAAACCCATAACTTTCTTTGAACTTTATAGAGTTATTATTAAAACCTATTAATCCAAAAACTGGAAACATTACTATTTCTAAACTGGTATAAATGGCCAGTCTACAACTTTTCTAAATTTCTCATCAATCTAATAGAAATCCTGATCAAGATTTTTTAAAGAGTATTGATCTGTTTATTAGGACTCATAAATTGCCCATACAACTGCATTCCAAAGCTATTGCAGCTTCCAGTGCTCTTCAAAATCAAGTGAAGGAGAATAAAATTATATAGGAAGGTTTAGCTGAAGTTGTATATAGAATCTTGAAATATACCTGTTTGTATGTAGTGTACTTTATTTTCTGATTTGGCTTGATATTTTATTTCTTTTTATTTTACAGGAATCAAGTCTTCGTAACATGATGAAAGAAGATGGAAAACACTACTGTCAATTCCTAAAAAATATTTTTAACCTGGCACCATATTTTAAATAGTCCTTTGACTTCATAAATTGTGTATATTAAAACAGAGAAAAATGGAACACTGCGTCTTCTACAAATACTTAATAGAAAGATCTGGAAAAGACTATTGCATCTATCTTGCATCAGATTTGGGGAAAAAAGTATACATTTATTTGCTGAGCTAAATTTCAGTTCACATATAATACAGTAGATCCTAAGTGGAATAAAAAGAGAGCTTTTGTGGATACTTGTGTTGAACATGACTCATGGAGAAGATCTTGTCTCTGAGATGCACCAAGATTCCATTGTTCTAACGTACTTAGAGGGATTACTAATGCATCAGACAGCCGGAGGTTCGGGTTCTGTGGTTGACAAAAAGCCTACTAGTAATGCTGAAGATCAGAATTTCAGCGTTTCTGGAAATGCATCTCCCAGCTGTCAGAGAGATGGTGTTCCTAACACACATACATATAGAAGTTCTGGAATGTTGCATCATAAAAAGGCAAGATTGCTACAGTCTTCTGAAGACTGGAATGCTGAAAACAAAGGGCGACTGTCTGATTCTCTTGTGGATATAAATGAGAAAAAAGAAGCATTGTTGGCTGGCATGGTTGAAAATGTGCCTAAAAGCAAGCAAGATAGCACGTTGCTGGCTTCCTTACTACAGTCGTTTAGCTCTAGGTTGCAGAGTGTTGCTTTGTCGCAACAAATTAAGCAGAGCCTTAAAGAGCAAGGGTATTCGCTCAGCAATGATTCCTCGCAGGTAGAGAAAGACTTGAGGTGCTATGGTGTTGCATCCAGTCACTTGAAAACTTTGCTAAAGAAAAACAAATTGAAAGATGAAAAACTGGAGACTGGTCTGCCAGAGCTAACAACAAATCTAGTTCAAGATCAGTTTAAAGAATCTACACATTCAGGACAGAGTGGTTCAAAAGTGATAAATGAATCACTTTCTTGTGCTGCAAGATTACAAGCTGTTGCAAACATGGTAGAAAAAAGATCTAGTCCTGCTGCATCCCCTAAACCAAGTGTTGCCTGTAGCCAACTTGCTTTGCTTCTTTCAAGTGAAGCACACTTGCAGCAGTATTCCAGGGAACATGCTCTAAAAGCACAAAATGCTAATCAAATTGCAAGTGAGAGACTTTCTGCTATGGCAAGATTAAAAGAAACTGCTCCAAAAGATGTTAGTCATTTTAAACTATCAAAAGGAATGGAAAGCCATTTGAATGGTCAGGCAAGGTGTTCAAACAAAACAATAACCAATAAAAGCAATATCACAAATTTTCAGAGTCATATGGGCATAATTCATTCATCTCCAAAAATTATAAACTACAAAACATCAGAAAAAAATCATATGAAACCACCTACTAACAGTTTACTTTTGCACCTCCTGAAAAATCATAGTACTACTAAGCAGACCAAGCGATATGAACAAAATGACAGGTCCAATATTTTTGAGGAAAGCAGTACACCAACCACTGTTGATGAATACTCTGACAACAACCCAAGTTTTACGGAAGATGATAGTAGTGATGATGAAAGTTCCCATTCAAATTGTCTTCCTATAGATTTGTCTTTCAAACAAAAAACAAATACTCAAGATTCAGGGCAGCTAGAAAATTTAACTCAATCCTTGTTTCATAATTGGGAATCAAAAGTCCCATGTCTGGAAAACATAGAAGAAAAGGATACTTCTAAAAATACAAAATTGAATCCACATCAGAAAGTAACTTTACTGCAGTTACTACTTGGCCATAAGGAAGAAGAAAATACACCCAAAGTTAAAGAAACTGAAGGAACATTAGTTCCAGCTGATGTGTCGAAATTTAATTTTTCAATGTGTAACAGAACTCCTGTTATTGACTCTTCTAATACTAATCGAATAATTCCAGTACATACTCCTCCTTTGCAAACTTCTGCAAAAGCAGATTCACCTATCAACCTTTCACACAATTCTCCTTTAATGATAAAATGTAATTCACCGCCATATACCTGCATCATACAGCCTGAAAGACTAACTAATTCAGCTTCTAAACACTTGATAGATCTTACTATTCACAAAGAACTTCATGGAAGTAAACAGAATAAAAAAGAAACTTTACAAACACATTCATCTTTCAGTGCAAGTAAACTATTGCAAAACTTAGCTCAATGTGGGATGCAGTCTTCCATGTCAGTGGATAACCAAAGACAAGCAAGCAAACAACTGATGACTCCTAACACTGAGAAACCAGTAGGATTGATAGATGGACTAAATACTTCCCTGCTTCATAATGCATCATGTACACTTGAAAAAAACAGAATGCTCACTAATCAGTTTCTCCCAGGAGAACAAAAACTTCCCAGTTCAGAAATCCAAAATCTGCTAGAACGACGCACTGTGCTCCAGTTACTTCTGGGAACCTCCAACAAAAATATGAACGAAACAAAGGAAAAAATATTTTTAAAAGACGAGGGTTTACAAGATCCAACAGAAAAAGTTTTGAATGAACAAATACTAACTGTAAAAATAAAAGCTGAGCCTTCTGAGGAAGAATCCAGTGCCCTTCAGAATTCAAATGCTCAACAAATAATTGAAAATGTTAATAAAAAAATTCCAGAAATGACTCATTCATTAGAGAGAAATACAGCTATTTCTCCAGCATCAGAAGAATTTCAGTCCCAGTCTCTTACATCTCAAGACTTTTCCTTTTCAAAGAATGGACTTCTAAGTCGATTGCTGAGACAGAGTCAAGATGGTTGCTCTGCAGGTATCCTGGACAGGAGAAATCATGAACAGAGTTTTGTGGAATCAAAAAGTCACAGTATGCTCCCCAAAAAGAGAAAATTGCATTCTGATTCTTTAGAAGGTCCTTTAAAAATACTAAAAAGTAATAAAGGTAGAATATCTGATGTCATGAACAATCATAAGTCTAGTGCGGATGCTTTGTATGGGAGCTGTCTTAACCAAAAAGAATCTAAGTTCATCAAAACTGATTTTGAAATAAAATATTCTTCAGGTTATGGGTCAAATAATGAAAGTGAAAACAGAAGTTGGTCTAGAGAAAGTAAAGGATTTAATGTGCTAAAACAACTGCTGCTATCAGAAAATTGTGAAAAAGATATGTCTCAGCATAGAAATAACTTATCAGTAACAGATGGCAAAAAGAAAGGAAGCAAACATAACCTAACAAATAATGACAAACCTGAATTCAATGTTTCTCCTGTGCATACTCTCATGGGGAACCCCGGGCAACCAAGCAATTTCTTGGACTACCAAACATTTCAATATTCGGTTGCTATGAAGAGTCCTGCCAGTTCTCCCTTCACTGAACGTTTGGGAGGCACCGTATCATCAAAACCAGAATGTGACCAGTTTAGCATTTGCCATATACCTAATGAAAGGGGACCTCTAAAATGGGTCATCACTGATTCTGACAAAAATGACCTTGAGAGAGACTCCCCAAGACTGACCCAAACTAATCCAATATTGTATTACATGTTACAAAAGGGAGGAAACCCTATTAATATTCAGGAAACCCATAGCAAAAATGCTTGGAGAGATAAATCATTTATAGAAAATTCATCTTCTGTCACAATGAAGAAAGAGTTGTCTCCTGTCACAGAATGTAAAATATTTCCTAATAGAAGAAATATATACAGTAGCCATTCAAATAATAAGGTGTCCATTCAACATAATGGAGAAATATATGGACACTTAGAAAAGGTATTAACAATAAAAAAAGAGCCCGAATAAGTTAAAATCTTACAAAGTGTTTACAATCAGGTTTAAATATTTTCGTTGAATAAAATAATGTAAATCTAGCATGATTTGAGAAGAGCATGGTATAGCTATGGTTTTATTTGATGAAATTTTTTTACTGATATTTAAAATGCATACAGCTTTAGTTCTTTATTTTTGCTTTACTGGAAATTTATCACAATACATGTCATCATGACTTGTTAATTATATAAATGTCCATGAGTAATTTGCAGCTGGATTGTACTCAGTGAGTAACTGCTATTACTGTCCTTGCACATAAGTATGTGCTTATGTAAACCCATAATATTTTCCTTACATGTTTCAAAACCATGAAAGTGATAAATCACAGACATTTTAAAAGCTGTATGTGATTTGTACACATAGCAAACAAGAAATCACGTGAGCAGATTTTTTTTACATATACCTGGACGAATGTAGAAATAACGTTAGAGACAAAAGCAACTATAGTAAGATATGTAAAACAGGATCTTTTTTTGAGACAACTGGTGTTACTCATGTGTAATACAGTATGGTTTAAATACAAGATGGAAGTGCATTGTTCAACATCATATATTTTCTCTCACAACTGGGCTACTGTCATCTTATATTGTCTGCTCATTTATAAAATGTGAAGAATATTTTTATATATATAAATGGATCATCATCCAAGCCAAGTCATTTATTTGTTGGTTTTGTAATACTTATCAGTGTTAACTAGAGAATTGTACACAATGAAATTTCTAGTGCTTCCAAATGGCTTGTAATTTGTGTTTGCATAATCTGACAAAACCACAAGAAATACTGTCTTTAGTTGCCTTTACTAGACATTCAGCTGAAATAAATTAAAATCTAGGCTGTGACTTTAAAAAATAATGAAGCTGAATCATAAATTACTGGCAGCAAAAAATAAATCTCTTTCACTACTATTAATTGTTTTTTTTATTTGCATTTATTCAAATTTTCCAGGGAAATTAACATATGAATAAAGTTGAAAGATTCCAGACTCATGCTTAAAAAAAGAAAAAAAATCATGATAGTTGATCTATCATTGTGATCTATTTTTCATGAATTCATATATATAAAAGATTTATATAGCTAAGATGAAAGATGCATAAATTGTCAAATGTTCTAAACCAAGTCATGGTCATTTTTCAACTTTTTCTATCCAGAAATAAGAAAGGAAGTGTAAATTGGAAGAACTGATTTTTACATTTAAATGCCTTAAAATAAATTCTAAATTTGAATATAGAACTGGAAAATATTGTAAGGTAAATAAACTAAGCATCTACTAGTGTGAAAGATGTTATTTTATTGATTCATGGAATTCCAGATACCTAGAGATTACAAAGTTAAATAAAAAATAACTTAAATTTAGATTAGTTCCAGTAAAATGGTGGATTGTTTAAAATTCTATATAATTATAATTTTGAAGTACCAAAGCTGTTGATACTTTTATGTATAATTTTCTGCATTTCAAAGACATTACTTGGTAACATCTTTTATTGTGATTAAATCCAGATCAATTCAAGTCTTCCATGGATTTGAGTAAAATTGCATCTTGACAAAAAGCAAGCCTAGTGCAGCTCATTTCAGCAAGTTTAGTTATGTTGAAAATCTGTGTGTAATAGTTTTTGGTGACAGATTAAACTTTTATATAAACAGATATATATCATTGGATATATAACATTTTATCTAAATAAAATGAAAGGTTATGCTGAAAGGAAATGAGAAGGCAACTCTAATTGAAAATCCGGAAATTTATTTCCACAATAACTAATATGTCATCAAATGAATTATGAATAAAATGTAAATAGCGTAACATCGTCCAGTTAATGTTTTCCAGAAATGACCATTATTTCTTTCAGAAGTTAGCATAATATCCAGGTGCCATCAGTGACTTTATTCTCATAATTTTACCTAACCCTCATTATAACCATTACATGACCCATAGCAGTAGCAGCAAATTACTTGCTTCTTGCTTCAAATCTTAAGTGTAATATTGAAGTTCAAGTCCTATGTTCATTATAGGTGCAAAAAGCCCCAATGAAATTAAATTGAACTTTTTTTTTAGTTGCATATGTGTAAAAACATGGACAATGTGTTTGTTTTTAAATGGAACAAACACATTGTGCCTTGGAAGTTTTGCTGAATTATTCCAGGTGGCTGTGATTCACCAGAACTGAAGCACAGGATATTTTGGTTATTGTAGATTTCATTAAAACTGAAATCTGGAAGTCTCTTACAAGAGGAATAGTGCAAAGCTACGTACTGTGCCTTGCTCTTCTTTATCTTTTACATAGCCTTCTACATCAGGTCATTTACCAATCTTCCCTTTACCAACTTTTCTCTACTTCTCACTATGCTATGCTTGAAGGCAAGTACATCAGCAGCAGTCAAACTAGTGAAAGAATGATCTGGGAAGATTCGGGGGGGGGGGTATACTCAAGGATATTAGTCTGTGGAGATTCTCAGTCATCATGGTTGTCCCAAAGGTGCTTTTTCAAAAGACAACAGGAGTTTGTTTTTCTTGAAGATGTTTCGTTGAAGACTAAAGAAGTTTATTGGATGAGAAGCGAAAATTTGTCAAAAAAAAAAAAAGTCCAGTTGCCTTTTGAAAAAATACCTTTGGGTCAAGGTTATTGGCAACAGCTGTGCCTACCTACTCTGTATTCCCAATCCCTTTATATTTTCTAACTATTCTCCTCAACTTAATGTCTTTTGTTTTTGCCCATTGTCTCTTCCCTCCCACTTTCAATAACACATACTTTGGCCTAGGTGTAACATAAGTAACAAAAATGAATTTTCTGTGCATGGAATTGTTCATGCATAGAATTATTTGCAAGTTTCAATAGACCTGTATTAATGCACTATTATGGTGCCATCTTATAATGTATTCTCAAATATAACTTCTTTTGAGTTCCAAAGATTTTATTCACATAGTTGTGAATCAGTTTTTTATGTGTTTCTTTGCCTTACAGCATTTGGAATCAGCCATTTTAATATAGAATCTTACTTTTCAACTATTAAGTTATATTTGAGATCATATTTAATGGGCTTGACTGGTTTATTGTGTCTCAAACAAATTGGCATGAAAATCTGGCTAAAACTTTTTTTGCATAACTTTTAATAATACCGTTTAGTTGCTTTACTCTTCTTGCCAATTCAGCACCCACCCACACATGCATTATTTTGATAATAATCATTATTTAGCATTGCATTTTAGTATTTTATATTAGCAATTTCTAAATATTTCTAAAATTAGAAATATTTCAAACTGCAAACCTTAACTCAACTCAAACATTTACTTCCTTGACACAGCAAACATTTACTTCCTTGACACAGCAAAACTTAGAATTGCAGTTAAAATTAAAGTATATAAATCACATGCCTGAACTTGATTCATGTAATGCAGTTAAGTATGAGTTAAGTATTTAGATGCTAAATGAAGAGAAAGGTTTGATTTGAAGAAAAGGCAAATATTCCTGCAAGTGCTTTAGTTTCAGCTTAACCTCAGGGCTGAGAGCTAAAAAAACAAAGCAGTCAATTGTCTTTAAAAGTTATTTTAGGAACTAGGAATTATCCACTCCTTCTGTTTCCCTCTTTATTTTTATTTCTTCTTTTGATCCTATCTGAATCTCTGATCCTGCATAAATTCAGTTACAAAAGCATAAAATATATACAATAATAATAATAAAGTATATTAATCTTAATATACTTAATATACTTAATAAAGTATAATAATCTTCCATTATATGAAAACAATCATAAATTGAGATCTACCCAACATTTGGCATTCTATTTTACTAAGGAAAATGTTTTATTTTCTACACTTGACTGTGACCCCATGAACATAATAGGGCTTACTTCCAAGTGACTATTCATAATCTTGGGCTGCACAACTGAATCACATACATGCCTACCTGCAAATAAATACTACTCAGGTTTTGCACAAGTGCAACACCTCCATTTATTCACTTGTTTTTTTAGGTTTTCCAAGTGAGTTTGAAAAGAGATGTACTTCTTTAAGAAATCTGAGTTTCAATGCAATACCATTTTTTTTTTTCAGGATGAAAATGGTCTAATAAATAGCAGAAATCTACTGTAATTATTGAGATCAGAAATACTTGATTTTTGGGGTGTGCTCAGTCACCTTTAATTATTTTTCTGTAACAAGAAATATGTAATTTTTTTGTTAATATTTCATTTTCCCCTGGACCATCACTAATGAGAGCAAAATATTACCAGTTAATTCTCTGCTGCATCTTAGTTGAATGACCTGGCAAGTTATATTTTATATCTATATATATGTATACATATGTAAATATGTAGACTTCTTAACATGTTTAATTTTTTTTCTAAAAACTGATGTAAATAGTGGTTTCTTTAAAATACATATTTTGTATTATATCAAATGCAAAGAAATTAACATTTTAATCATTTTGTCTTGTATATTCCATGTATTAATAAATGTAAATATTATTGCATAGGTTTAACATTTTGCATGTATGTATACAGTGCAAGTCTGGAGGAATGTATAGAAAATGTTTTATTTAAAATTGTAATTATTGCTGCATGATAAATGCATGGGGGATCCTGTGCATCTCTGCAATGATAAAAATTGTCAAAACCAGATTATCCAACATCACTATATTCTGTTTCTGAACATGACTTTGCTATGGTATTTCAGCTTTGTGAAAGAATGTGCTTCAAATGAAAGAGCCTGGGGAAAAAGAACTACCTTTTAAACAAAAATATCCTATCCTTGCCCCCAATCACAAATATTGTTAAGTTTTTAATTTACAGTTAAAGCCACTGAAATTTTTTTTGCAGTATTTTCAGATAATGTAACCTTGTTTTGCATTGAAATACATACAAATTATGGGATTTATACGGCCTTTTTTGTTGTGAAGTTTTCACTGATTAAAAAAATAAAAATTCTCATTTTATTAAGACATGACTTATTCATGTAATGTCGCAAAACTGTACATATTGCAGTGTGAAGTTTTTTAAATTCTTTCAGTGTTTACTTCCTGCAGAAAATTTGAATAAATGAAAAAGTGCATTGAATTTGTAGTCTTAATCTATTGATTGCATTGTTTTGTTTGCAACCAAACAATAATTCTTAATTTAACATAATCTCCCCTTTTGTAGACTTCATCCATAAATCCCATATAGAGGAAAACATAAAATCCTTCTTAATATTTGCTGAATTAGAGCAGACAAATTTCTTCAAAGCTTTCTAGTTCATACCCTGTTGAAAATACCTAGCAACTTGTTTCTATTTATTTTATCTCCATCTTTATGTCCATACTTTCTTTGGGTTGCCATGCCCTCCTTTTGTCAGTGGTTTTACCTAGGTCCATTTGAACATGGTTCCCCTATTGAAAGGATTGAAGCACTGTAGGAGTTGAGAGCTCCCCATTATCCATGACTATCCTACCATCTTTTAACAGCCAGCCAGCCCATTTTTTTCTAGAATCTGCTTTGTTCTTTTTCTACTTTAGCTTTCCTAATTTGCTTTCTGCAGATGTTAGCTACTTTCTGGTAAAGCTCCTAATCGTTGCAAATTACCTCCATCATCTATTTCATATACACATATTTTTAATGCAAAACTCGGCCAAAAACTCCCTATGCATTCACAACAATTTCCAAAAAAATGTCTTTTTCTTTATTGTAATGGTATATAATTGTACTTTAAGTATCTTTGTCTTGAGAAGTTTCCAATTCTACTTTCACTTTGATCTGATTATTTTGTACATGGTATCCTGCACTGAACATTTATCTAAGGACACAGAAATCATTGAGGTATATAACTTCAGCTAATCCTTCCACATACTCTGATTTTTTTCTCTCCCAGTCCCATTCTTACTATTGAACATCAAGCTATTTTATGGATAGTTTTCTATGACATACTTACCTTCTGTTTGGATTACTGCAACGCAATCTGCATGGGGCTGTCCTTGAAGACCAATTGGAAACTGCAGCTGGATCAGAATGGAGTGGAATTCACAGTTTTGGCTACCCCATAGTTCACCCAAGCAATAACACTGCTGCATGAGCTGCACTGGCTCTTGGGATACAATTCAGAGCTGGCTATCATCTTTAAAGCACTACATGGCACAGGGCCAGTTTACTTGCATCATGACTCCTTGAGGATATCTCCTTGTCGCTCTTAATTTATATTAGGTGGGCTCATTCCAGGTTCCCACTTTAAAAGTTGCCATCTGATAGGACTTTGGACATGCACCTTTTCAGTGATCACTCCAGCACTTTGGAACAGCCTCCTGCCTAAGATTGCAAGGATCCCTTCCCAAATTTTATTTATTGTCCTGTCTCATAGACTTTTGATCAGAATTCAGCCAAAAACTGAATGCCAAAGTCAATGTTTCTTTGTAATGTAGTCCTTTGTATTTTTTTTTAATTCCCTCTTGCTACCTTTTCCTCTGTAAAGGGAATAACAATCTCCTTCCCTTTATCAGGCCTTAATCTGCCCTCACATGCATTAAACAATTTGAACAATTGGTCGCATTTGTTTATGCTGCCATTGGGACTTTGTGAACCTCATTTTGCTAAGTGCTCAAATTTACTACCAATCCTACCTAGTCAAAAACAATACTGTTACGGTTGCTATTGGGATTGGTGCTACTGCTGAGATCTACTGCACTCCAAACTTTCAGCTGCCGGTGTTCTGGCTTAACTTTCTGCTTTAATCTTTCTGGTTCTTTCTTGCTATCTCAGATCATTCAGTTCTCTTTCTCTTCTAACTCTTATTACTCTGTTTAGGTTTTCCCTTCACCTGTGTAATTCTTGAGCTTATTGTCTCTTAGCTGTACATCAACTTATGTAATTTGAGCTTATTTACTAAAAAACCTATCATTTTCCTTCTGAAAACACAAGTTTAAGAATTCTTTCCTACAAAAATATTACTATTTTTAGTATTTTCTCTAAATTTATTCTGTTAAGCAAAGTTACCAGCAAACCAACAATCAACCAATCTGTTCCAAGCTACTTCATAAGTCAAGTCATTATGGAAGATGTGCAAATATATAGGAAACTAAATATGTGAACAGAAATGTTTTCTACCACTCAAAAAACACAATTTATTGCACTTTACCTACCATCTTATTTATGCATAATTAGAAAATCAACACTTTCCCCAGTAAGAATTGAGCTCTCTTGAAAAATCTAATTTGATTTTTAAAAAATCTCTATATTGAATAGACAGAATAAACTGTAGAGCTTGCAAAATTTATCTTGTTACTTGCAAAGTCGTGTCTGACCCATCGCGACCCCATGGACAACGTACCTAAAGATCTTCCTGTCTTCTACCATCTTCTGGAATCCATTTAACTTCACGCCTACTGCTTCAGTGACTCCATCCAGCCACCTAATTCTCTGTCGTCCCATTCTTCTATTGTCCTCAATCTTTCCCAGCATTAGGCCTTCTCCAGTGAATCCTTCCTTCTCATTAGGTGGCCAAAGTATTTGAGTTTCAACTTCAGGATCTGGCCTTCTAAAGAGCAGTCGGGGTTGATCTCTTCTAGGACTGACCGGTTTGAACGCCTTGCAGTCAAGGGACTCGCACCATAGTTCAAATGCCTCAATTCTTTGGCACCCAGCCTTTCTTATGGTCCAATTTTCACATCCATACATTGCAACTGGGAAAACCATGGCCTTGACTAAATGCACTTTTGTTGGCAGGGTGATGTCTCTGCTTTTTAGTATGCTGTCTAGATTTGCCATAGCTTTCCTCCCCAGGAGCAAGCGTCTTTTAATTTCTTGGCTGCAGTCCCCATCTGAAGTGATCTTGAAACCCAGGAAAATAAAATCTGTCACTACCTCCATTTCTTCCCCATCTATTTGCCAGGAATTGAGAGGGCCGATGCCATGATTTTGGTTTTCTTAATGTTGAGATACAAGCCAACTTTTGCACTCTCCTTCTTCACCTGCATCAAGAGGCTCTTTAGTTCCTCTTCACTTTCTGCCATTAGAGTGGTATCATCTGCATATCTTAAGTTGCTGATATTTCTCCCGGCAATCTTAATTCCAACTAAGCAAGGAGAGAAGCAGCCTAGAACTAAGGTGAAACTTCCTGACAGTTAGAACAATTAACCAGTGGAACAACCTGCCTCCAGAACAGTGAATGTTCCAACACTGGAAGTTTTCAAGAAGAGACTGGACAGCCATTTGTCTGATGTGGTATAGGATTTCCTGCCTAAGCAGGGGGTTGGACTAGATGACCTCTAAGGTCCCTTCCAACTTTACTATTGTTATTACCACCCCATCCTGGTTATCTGGGACGTTGAGCTCATTCTTGTTTAGTTCTTCTGTGTAATTTTGCCACCTCTTCTTAATTTCTTCTGCCTCTGTTAGGTCCCTGCCATTTTGGTCCTTTATCATGCCCATCTTTGCATGAAATGTTCTCTTCATATTTCCAATTTTCTTGAAGAGATCTCTGGTCCTCCCTATTCTGTTGTTTTCTTCTATTTCTTTGCACTGTTCATTTAAGAAGGTATTCTTATCTCTTCTAGCTATTTTCTGGAATTCTGCATTCAATTGGGTGTATCTCTTTCTCCTTTGCCTTTCGCTTCCCTTCTTTCCTCAGCTATTTGCAAAGCTTCCTCAGACAGCCATTTTGCTTTCTTGCATTTCTTTTTCTTTGGGATGGTTTTAGTTGCTACCTCTTGTACAATGTTGTGAACCTCCATCCATAGTTCTTCAGGCACTCTGTCTATCAGATCTCATTCCTTAAATCTATTTGTCACCTCTACTGTATATTCATCAGGAATATGATTTAGTTCATACCTGAGTGGCCTAGTGTTTTTCCCTACTTTTTTCAATTTAAGCCTAAATTTTGCAACGAGAAACTCATGATCTGAGCCACAGTCAGCTCCTGGTCTTGTTTTTACTGACTGTATAGAGCTTCTCCATCTTTGGCTGCAGAGCACATAGTCAATCTGATTTCTGTGTTGACTGTCTGGTGATGTCCATGTGTAGAGCCGTCTCTTGGGTTGTTGGAAAAGAGTGTTTGTTATGACCATCGTATTCTCTTGACAAAATTCTACCAGCCTATGCCCTGCTTCATTTTGTACTCCCAAGGCCAAACTTGCCTATTATTCCGGTTATCTTTTGGCTTCCTACTTTAGCATTCCAATCCCCCATGATAAGGACATCATTTTTTGGTGTTAATTCTATAAGGTGCTGTAGGGCTTCAAAGAACCGGTCAATTTTACCCTCTTCAGCACTAGTGGTTGGGGCATAGATTTGGACTACTGTGATATTGAATGGTTTGCCTTGGATTTGAACTGAGATCATTCTGTCATTTTGGGGATTGTATCCCAGTATTGTTTTTCCTATTTTATTGACAATGAAGGCTACTCCATTTCTTCTGAGGGATTCTTGCCCGCAGTAGTATACCTGATTGTCATCTGAGTTAAATTCCCCCATTTTAGTTCACTGATTCCTACTGTAAATTTGTCTATACAGGGCAAATTTAATCTAAGCCATCTAGTCTAATTTTATTAATCAAAATAAATATATTTGCTGTTGCACTGCCTGCTAAAGCAGACACTGCCTGCTAAAACATTTGTTTCTGTATTTTACTGAGGCAGAGTTGTTTTTCATGAGGAAACGACATCTTTTGAATTATGCATTATTGGAGAAAAGAAACCTCATTTGCAAGAGATTTTAAGATCAAATCAAGGCATTCAATTACACAAACCTCAAATATATACTATACAACTTGAGCCGTTAATCTTCCCTGATACCATAAAAAAAAGCTGCACAATCTTTCATATCAAATTTCCAGCGAATATTTATGTGAAAAGAAGCGTAAAAATATAATTTTACCTTGATGACTTTTTCTCAGTTAGCTGTGCCTTCATTTCATTATGTGCCAGTGATATAAAGCTAGGTGGCAGTTGACACACTACACCACTCTAAGCAGGTCACCATCTATTCCAATGTCAATCATCTGCCTAGAGTCACAAAGTAAAAGTAGGCCATTAGCTTCTTTCCAAAAATATCAGGCTTGCTTCTTCATCGTCGTCAGGGTAGTTGATTCAACT